AGCAGCTTTAAATCTTAAAGCCAGGTTTAACACTTGCTGGTGGCCATGAGCTCTGTTGCCATCTCACAGGACGGTGCCTTCAAGTTGCTCGATGCATGTATTGATCTTCTTTCTCCCCTCTCCCTCTCTTTAGCGATTGATTCTCAGACAGACACGTAATCTGGACATAGAAACTGTTGTTTTGACTGTGCATTTCAATTGATCCTGCTCGGGTGGTTGTGACCATAGAGCAGCAAACTCAGCCCAGCAGGAGCGAGCTGCCCGCTATGCACTGCTTTATGGGCTGCTCCCATCTTAAAGCCCTTATTTATGCTTAATAGATAATTCTACACAAAGCCAATTGATTTGTATATTGCTATAGTCACAACCCATTGAATACATTGTTTATGGGCCTTTTTACCTGCAGGATGTTCTATTGATAGGGCTGTCCATGATGTGCTTATACCCTATTAATAATGCATTGACCAGAGTCGAGGATGATATAGAAAGCACGATGTGCTCTTGCTTGTGCTCTTTCTCTCTCTCCCCTGTTCAATATATTGCAGTGGATTTTGACAGCATGCAAACTAATTTTGTATTGACTTACTTATGCCAGTGTAAAAAAACACCAAACCAATTTATTCTCATCCTTCAGTCTATAGCCCCCAAACGTCCCATGGATTGGGTGGTGTGGAATTGATTTATTGTTCAACCCACAGGTTGTTTAAACACTATGGTATTGATGCTACTCCTTTAAAGGGGACCAAGGTGGTACCAGCCAGCAGCATAACTGCATCAGTTGGGCAAATGGAGCTGGCTGGTGTTATGGCCCAATCCTGACTAAAACAGATGCAGAGGGAAATGTGTAACAGGGAAAGGATTACTGGTGTTTAACGCTTCTGCCCCATGCACCCCCTTCTTGTCCTCTGCCCTTGCCCCCAGCCTCTGTGTCTTACCATGGCCTTCCTGGGGAGTTAAATCATTAATGAGGTTGGGAGTTAACTAACTAGGTTAAAATGACTCTCTTTAGGCTCAGGGGTCAGTAGCTGTCAGGGTTAAATGGCACCTATCCTGACTGCATGTGCATCCTCAAGGTTTGGAGCTGTCGATACTGAATCAATTGCCATTTGGAAGCTGAATCAGTACAGCTTTCTCAGTGCAACAGCATGAAGTCCCTTACCCTGCCTGCCACAGTGGTGTCTGAGCAGGGGATGCAGGACCCAGCCATCCTTTTGGTGTTGAAGGACCAACTTTTGTCACTTCACACGTTAGAAGACCTGGCAGCCCTGGGGTTTGAGTCCAGGTGGTTCCCTTTTGGACCTGTGCATGCAAGTGAGCATGTGGCTGAGAGGCATCCATCACTGCACCCACTAAAACAGTGTTATTGGGTTGCAAAACCTCATTCTCCAGGAGGAAGAAATGTGTCTTCATTGCAGGTGAGCCAGCTCTGAGGAGGGCTTGGGACCAGCACAGGCTGTAACACTGCATATGTCTGTGTGTGTGTGTGTTTATACCAATCACAGGGCTTTATCACCACCAGATGTGCAGGAGCTCACTCTGCATACCTTACAAGGCCTTGATCTGGGAAGGGGGTGCTGCAAGCCCAGCTATCTCTTGACCACTGGAGACTCCCTTATCTTTAGCTGTATGTTTTCTTGTGTGTCCAAAGGCTTTGTGCATCAGGACATTCAGCTCTGTGGCTGCACATAGCTATGAGCCTCCCCTCCTAGGTAATACCCCTGAGGCGAGGCACATTCCCACTGGGACTCATTCTCCGGGTGACCACGTTCTGCTTGTGATGGAGCTGGTGAGCAGAGTCCATGGACAACTTAAAAGCATTAAGATCAGAAGCATCCACCCTCCAAATCTCCAAATTTTCACACATCTCTGACACCAAAACCTAGAACAGGCTCCAGGTTGCTTGAGTCGAGCAGGACCTGAACCACCTTGGTAGAACCAAACCCAGTGGATGTGAAATGAGTTCTTGGGTTATCACTTGGCTCCGACCGGTGCTGCCTTCCTCTCCCATCAGGGCTCTCTTGAAACAGACCCTGTTGTTTCAACCTCTGTTGTGGTTTTTGAGACCCCTGACCAAAACTGAAGCTCTGGAGCTCAGCAGGGGTATGTGGACGTGCAGATGTGCAGCCAGATGTGGGACCCCACAGCCACACTCACCACCCTCCCAGGGGTACCCGGCGCCGCTCAACCGAAAGCAAAGGAGACGGGGCAAGAGCAAGTGGTCCAGTTCAGAACTCTTTAATACAAGCTTATATTGTTTGTGTTTCTGATTCTCTGTTCTCCCAGCATCTGGGGACATTAACCCTCATATGTGTGTGAGCATGTGTATGAAGATATATACAAAATCACACAGTTAAATATTTAAGCATACAAGGTATTATATATTTATATAATATAGAACTTTAGGGTATAGGAATCAACAATGGCAAAATATTTCTGATGAATCTGACATAACTTCTCTTTTTTTTTTGGAGTGAAACATGACCTGTTTTGGAAAGACCAGAGGAAGTTGTTGCTTATTCAAAAGAAAGAGAAAAAAAACCTGTATAAAGAAATTCTGTGAAAAGGATTTAAATCAAAACCATCATGAACCGAAAAAAAAAAAAAAGGACAACTGTTAAAAACTGTATTGAAAAAAAAAAATAAATTAGATGAACAACTGTGTAAATATAAATTAAAAAAAGATGACAATCTTAATAAATAAGCTTTACTATTTACATCTTTATATATTGCTTGGAGACTTAAATTAGATCCGTTAAAAACAAACGAACGCAAAATAAAACCCAAAATCGGAGCAGCAAACGTACAGGCGTGAGGTACAGAATTAAGGGTTGAGCTGTATTCTGCTTGTTTCTCTCTTATTTTTTTTGTCTTTTCTCTTTTATACAGTAGACCAGTAGAATTCGTGTGAAAATAGATCCTCAGCACTTCATTGGAGTATTGGTTGACATGGCTTCCAAAAGGTGCCAAGAAAGATTCCATCATCATCATCATAATAATAATAATAACCATAATAATCATAATAATTATAACAAGAATAAAAAGATACAATATGATACATAAATATGGAAGAGCAGTTGGTAATATGAATACATTTTTTCTCTAGACGAGATCACAGTTTTATTTGTAAATATTAACACTGATATATATATAATATTACACAGATAATATTATATATATATCACATATATATTTATATATATATTTATATATATAGTACGGCTCAATCCTGCTCCCAGTGAAGTCAACAACAGAAAAACCCTGTTGACTTGATGGGAGCAAAATTCAGCCTCTCATCTGCAGACAGGTAAGTAATTACAGAGGCCGTACAATGCAAACTCCGCAATGGTTCCAATTCCCTCTTTAATTGCTGGTGAAATGTTCCGTTTAAAGCCCTGGTTCTTTGCACTCAGAAGATGGAAACTGGTGGCTGAATTGTGGCCTCACCAAAGGAAGGAAAAAACCAAAAGACTAAACCAAACTAGAATGGGAACCAAAGACAACTTGGACTAGTGAGCTCTGCATCTCGACCTAACAGGACTACCAAGTAGCACCAAGACTCCTCATCTAACACCTGAAGCCAACCCAAGCTCTTGTTTCTGGCTTCAGAGGAAGGAATTATTATTCTTAATGAATCTTGGATGTGTAGATCAGGCAAAACATGGAAAATTCAGTTTGCCAAACAAAGACAGAAACAAAACGTTAAGCCCCACTTTGCTCCTGCTGAAACAACCGGGGTTTTGGACATAGGTTCCCCCGGTGGCAGGAACAGTCCATCACCAAACCCCTATTGCTCAGAGTAACCATGGCTCCAAAGAAATACATCTTGGGCCACCTGGACCTGGCTCCTGCTGATGTCTTGGTCATGCTCCCACTGAACTCAGTGGTCAAGGTCCTCCATTGGAAAGGGGACTGTCCTGTGTGCCCAAGGTCAGTTGGAGGCAGAGACACTTCCACATCCCCAGCAGGGAGATGGCTTTCCCCAGAGGATGGGTGATGTGGAAGAAACACAAAGTAAATCTGCTCAGTTGCACCACTGAGACCAAAATGAGGCCCACAGTCATGAAGAGTGTATCTAAGCCGGGCATATGGTCCTCTCCCAGTGAGATGAACATGCCCATTAATTCTCACTGGGGCATCCAGGGATTGGGCAGGGGAGAGCAGGATGCTGCCAAAAAGCTGTGAATTTCCACAGCATTCCGATAGTTCAAAGGCCAAATCACCAGCTCTGAAACCCCTCTGAGCATCCCAGCCTTGGCTGACTTAACCCCAACCCCTCCTATCTTCTAGCTTGGCCTCAAATGGAAACAACGGGCTGGAGTGCGGGAAGGGGACGGTCGCATCCCACTTCCCACTGATGGGAATCACCTGTCTGCTCACGTAGCAGCTTTCTCCTTCTCTTTTCACTCCCCATCCCTCGCAGCTCTTCGGGATTCAGACTGTGCAATGCTTCTGAGTGCAGTAAATAGAGCACAGTGAAATACTGGTTAAATGCGTATGTACAGTTGGATAACGTAAAAATAAGCACAAATACACACTTAAAAAAATAATCTGGAAAACCAAAAAAAAACCAAAAACCACCCTCATAAACTCCATCCCCTTCCCACCCCCAAATAACAACAGACCAGGGAAAAATCACCTTAGCCTCAGTTCCTGGACTTCTCACAAAGCACAAGGAAAACAAAACCAGACAACGTTATAAAACCTCACGGTACTTCTAGGGAAATCTACACTTCAGTATCTAGCTCTCTACTCAGCTGGCAGAATCACTGTTTTCCTTTCAAACACACAAAAATAGGCTTTGCTCTTCTTGGGTTTGGATTATGCGGGTTTTCTTTTCTCTTTTTGTGTGTGTGGGTTGGTTTTCTTCCTCTCTCTAAAGCCTCAGTTGTTATTCTATTCCCCCACTTGAATCAGTTGCAGCAAGAAACTTCTGTTGGCTATTGGGCTTGCTTTTTTCTTTTTTTTCCTCTCTTTTTTTGTTTTTTTTTCCCTTTTTTTGTCTTTTTTTTTTTTTTGTTGTTGTTGTTATTTTTTTCTTAAACACAGGTAAAACCTAGAACAAACCGACAGTTACAACCAAGTGAAACCGAAACCGGAAGGGAGGTAGCTGGAACCCGACTCCAAGAGTCCTCTGGTGCCATCCTCCTTTCTCAGCCTGGGGTGGGGACAGCGGAAGATGCAAGAAAAGCAGGAGGACACCAGCTCAGCCTGTCTGCAAGAGGGTGGGGAGGGATTGGGGTAGCAGCTGATAGGAGTTTCCCACCCCACCATGCACCACTGACCGCTTTCTGCTCCAGCTTTCCCTCCCACTGGCCATGGACAACCCCAAGAGCTAGAAGGCAGGCTGGTGGCCCCAGGTAGGGTGCAGCCTTGGCTCGCTATCTTTGACAGAGAAGATCTTGGCACTAATGTGACCTGGACTTCATGAGCAGCTAAATGTCATCAGCATGAGCACCCTCTCCTGATCCTCCCAAATTCTTGTTTGATGTTGACCTACGCCACTGGGTCAGCGGGTGGACATGGTGGGAAATGTCCTTCTCACCCCCACCCAATGGCCATCGTAGCCATGGAGGGTCTTTCCTATAGACTCCACTGGGCATTCAAGGCCCTTACAGTGGTAGATGCTGCAAGGCCATCCAGCTGGCCTTGCCCCAGCATGGGAACACAGGGAACAAGAGCTGAGTCCATGCCCCATGGCTCCCCTCTCCACATCCCCCTGGATGCACGGTACAGCACCTGAAACGCAGAGGGCAAAGCTTTGCCTCAATGCTATCTTTTCTCAAAGAAAAAAAAAGCCATTGGATTACTGGATTTAACATGACTCAGAGCAGAACTTCTGCTCCCATTGGAGGAGATGGACAGTGCCAACATAGCAGTTGGAAAATAAAAATCAAATAGCAGCATGGAAAGCCCATGGGAAAGGGAGTTTGGTCACCCCTGGACTGCAGGAGTGAAGCTGAGGTGTGAAACTGCTGGCAAGAAGCCACCATCTCCCTTGAGCTTGAAGGACTCCAACTCAGTGAGCAGGGGCTGGCCCTAGCTGGGCAGAGGAGCTCATCAGGCCCTGAGCTCCTGGAAGCCCACAGCAGCAAGTGGCAATAACGTTTATACAGACCTGTCTCTTGTGGGCAATGTCTTAGGTGGGACAAGCAGATGGAAAATCTCCTCCATGCTGAACTGCATCACCAAGAAGGGGATTTTGGAAACGGAGCTGCCATCAGGATTCACACAGGACCTGAACTGAGGGTCCCTGTTAGGGTAAAACCCAGGTGGCGTGGAGGGGAGAGATCACGTTAAGAGGCCTCATTGAGGACCTGATACATTGGCAGTCTGAAAGGTTGTGAGCTCTTCTGATGGATGGCACATGAACAAACTACCAACACAAAACAGGAGGTCAAAGGGACCAGAAGGAAGCAACTTCTTCACCATTAACTTCCATTGTTAATGAGATGGCAAGGGGCAAAAGTGGACATTTTGCCCAGGCCCGGTTTTCGTCACTGCTCTCCACACTGGCAGACGTTCAGCCTAATTCCATGAAGGAGCTCTGATTCCACCACGCCTCCCTTTCCTGTGCACCCCTGTCCCATGGTGCAGAGCCATCGCACAGCTCCCATGGCCAAGCCTTCTGCAGGAATAACTAGGAGCTTCACAACAGAGCTCCTTACGTTCTCATGACAACCACCTCTCCAGGCCTCTACATTTTAGTCCTCGAGATTCACCTCTGGTTTGTTCAGATGAAAACAACCCCAATATTGGGTGACAAGAGCCTTGCACCTACAACTCTGTCAGTTTTCCATATCTAGTTCTCCTCCACATTTTTACATCCACCTCTATTTTCCTTACCTTTCTGCCTTGCTCCAGTGCCTAAATGTTCAACCAAACAGGAATAGGAAAAAAGTCTTTCCAGCCTGTCTTTACCCAGTAGATGTGGTTAGAACTAGATTATCTTTAAGGTCCCTTTCAGCCCTAACCATTCTATGATTCTATGATTGTACAAGTCATAAAAGCCCCAAGGAATAGAAGGAGACTCTTTTGGATGTATGTCCTTCCTAGCAGGAGCCTGAAGCAGCAGAAAACAAGCCCAAGCCACACTGGAAAGATCTGTGGGATTCCCTTGGGATGGGTTGTAGCAGCAGTGGCAGCACTAGATGCACTGGGCATCTCAGTGACTCAACATGATGAACCCTATAATGAAATAAGCCGAGGGTCTGGCACAACACGGATGAAGCTATACGATAGGGAAGGGTGAGGTCTGCTGCAGCTAATGCCCTTTCCTTCTGGAAGATTACAAGCAGCTAAGCTCCTGGTCTATCAGAAGTCTTCAACCCACTGGCCTGGCAGCTTAATACTGACAAATACAGCCAAAATTCTAATACTGTCTCCTACAGTCCCTTCTCCACAGCACGTGCCCCTTCCTGCTCTTCCCCTCTCCTGAGAAAACAGGAGCATGAAGCGGTTGTTAGATTCAGACCACCACAAGGAGGTGGAGGAGGTCTAGAGAACCACTTGGCTGGATGAGGACCAGAAAGCAGATTCCTTTGGCTGGCTGGTGTCCTGTTTTCTTGCCCCAATGCTGAGGAAGAGACCAGAGGGTTTGAAAGGCAGGTTGTAGGTAAGCTTTAAGGCAGACTGTTTGGTTGCATGGGGTTGTTTTTCACCCTGTCCTGACACAGTAAGGAAACTAGTTGTATGGGACATAGCAGCAGGAGTAGCAGCAGCAGACATGCTCAAATGACAAGTGCGGGCGCGAGTTACCCTCTCTGCTCCTCAGAAGCAATCATCCACCTTCCTCAATGCCAGTCCTTAGACTCCCCACTCCCTGACTCCATCATGGGACCATTTGCCCATCTCCACACAGAAACATCCTAGCAGCCCTGCAGGCTACAAGGGGACTTTTTGTTGGCTTATTTGAGGGCAGGGGGAGAAGGAGGAGCTGTACAGAAAGGCCACTGCAGTCTGCTGAGCTCCCTGGCTGGAAGTAGCATTCCTGTGAGGAGCAGAAGCATCCCACATCTCGAGCTGGCTGGGCGTCTGGCAAGTCACTTGCCAAGAGCCACAGCCCTGTGGAGATCCCACCCCAATCTCAGTGCCCCGAGCATGCGATACCTTGGCATTCAGCATCAGAAAAGGCTCAGCTTGGAGTCCTCCAAGAGCACAGCCTCTTCCATGAACGGTCTGACTTGTGAGTGCTGGGGAGGGGAAAGTGTTTTTGCGTTGATCATCATCTCTCACTCTTTCTCTCTTTCTCTACTTATTTCTATAAATATGTGTACATAAATAGCTTGTTTCTCGCCTTGAATCTAAATATGAACTGTTCAGATTAGGTGGGCATAACATGCTGTTTTGATACATGAAAAGTCTTCTCGACTTGACTCTCGGTTGTTTGTTTCTCATCATCACTATTTAAGATAGAGTTAATACATAAACCCCTACTTTTGAGTTCTCCTTGGACAAAAATTAAAGGCAGACTGGTTGAATTCTAAGGGTCCCTGGTGCAGAAATGCCATCCAGTTGAGCAGCTAAATGTTAAAAACGATACCAAAAGGGATGTGGTGTCTCTCCTAGCCTGCCTTGAGCAGTGTGGTCCTCCTTTCCACGTCACTTGGCATTACCCAAGACTGAAGCCACGGAGGTCTTTCTGATTGTGCTCTTGGGCGTTGGGGTCCCGGCAAGCACATTCTCCTTGTAGGTCACAGGACATGGGGAAGGGAGTAACCTGGGGAAAGAAACCAAAGACACAAAGACATGAAGGAGGGAATTATAACTACAGCACCCTGGAGAACAAATGAGACCTCTGGAGTGGTATCTTCAGAGATCAGGTGCAGCCTTCAGCTATGTTATTTCTACAGTGATTTTTAGTGCTGAGGTGGTGGTGCACTGGGGCCTCAGGTGAGCTACCTGTCCATAAAAAAGGCTGCAAGAAGTGTAAAGAACCTGTTGAACTCACTCATTCAGTTACTGTCAGGTACTCCCTTAACAGCTCATATTAAGCACATGGATATAGCTGGCTGGGAGCATGTGCTTCTCAGGCAATTCAAGGGCTTTTTGGGGTACTTACCACAGTGCTTGGATTCTGTTACACCTCCAGCCTCCTCTGGAAAGCTATCCTTACTCTAAAGGTTGCAAACACTAAATGACAGCAAAGTTGACCCCTCATCTCCCATGGCCAACTCAAATGCTCACCAAACACCACACCAGGTCCCAACTCCAGACTCCCCATGCACTTCTACCCAGCTTGGGGGGTTCGGTGAACCTAGGCCATAATTCCCTGCTGTAGGGTAGCATTTTTACTCTGTGGCTTGGGATGCTGCTTGAGTGCCTATCTATCTATGCATTGAGGTATGAACGTTCTTGGTTCCAGTTCCTCAGGAACTGAACCAAACACTGCCTGGCACATCAGTGAAGCTGCAGTCCAGCAGAGACTTCTCCAAATACCTGTTGTGTTTTAAGGTCAAGAGATGCAGCTAACGGGCACTGAGGAATGGCAAAGGAATGCAAGTAAGAGGCTTCTGCATGCATGAGCTGTCATCTGTCCACGATCTCCCTGGAGTGGGAAGGAGCTGAAACAACAGCCTGCAGACCTGGCTAGTGGAGTTGATTTTGGCTTATCACATCACAGCCTTTACATAAAGAAAAGGGGGTGGCAGTGGAACGGTGCCCTGCTTGCCCTGAAGTGAATTCCCAAGAACTTCTCCCATCTGCACAGACTGAGCAGTGACCTCATTCCTCTCCTTTACACCCCTTCCAAGGCAGTGCCACAACCTGTTCCAACGTTCCCAGCGAGGACTGCACGCATTCTCCTTCTGCTTCTCTTGGCTGTGCTGCCGCATGTTTGCTCTCTCTTTCATAAACACTTTCCTCCAGGCTATGAATCCTGAGTCTGCCTGTTACCTACGCATCATCAACAGCACATCTAGGAATGTGGAGCTAGCACCATGTGTGAGCACAGAGCTGTCATTTACACCTAGACCTTCCGTACGTGTCCCCGCATGTCCATCTCCAGCATGCCTTTCTCCTGACGCACACAAGAACGGGATGGAGGGGTGTGGATCTTTATTTCACAACTGGGGAGCCTAAGGCAGGGACATGCTGACAGAGACATTAGATAGCCAAGGCTGATCACCACATTAGGGTTTAGAGAGCCTCCCCCCCTTGCTTTTGACTTCACTGCCAGAAGACCAGGTAGAACAGGGTGATGACTCTTATTCAAGCCATGGCCTTGGTGGCTTGCGTGCTAAATAACCAACCAGCGAATGATTTGAATCTGCAATTGTGCAAATGTGGAGGTTGCAAAGAGAAGAGATAGTCCAAAAAATCAAAAGCAAATGAATTGAAATAATTAGAAACTGAAGAAGTTTATAAACTGCAGAAAACAATAGGAGCTTAAGGGTCACTTCATCCAACAGCAGCCAGCCAGAGCAAGACTGTCTCATATCACAGTGTTATGAATATTCTTAGATAGGAAAACAGAGAAGTCTGCAAACAATGGGGCTTGGGGAGGAGGCTGAGGAGGGATTGTTTAATGACTGAATTAAAATACTGAAAAAAGAAAAGATACATGAAGAAAACATTGACTTTTTCTGCTCAATGTAGAAGGAAACATTTTGCTTTCAGATCTCTGCTACAGTTCAGGTTTGACCTTTCCCTCCAAATAAACAATACAAATAACAAAGACTATTTCAGAGCAAAAATTATGTCTTGAAATAAAAACTTATTTCATTTAGAAAATGCTCAAACAAAACCATATAAATAAGTTTTCCCCTATTCTTATTTTTTATCCTAAATCATTCAGTTCAATCTGGATTTGGCATTGATTTTGACTTTAAAAATCCTCCTTTTTGTACAACAAAGTTACTGGTTGGAGGAGTTGGGAACCTGCTTCTTCCATTTGTCTTGATCAAGCTTTTTCCTCTCCCTGCCTTGGTTTCACTGTGTTTGTCTGCAACAGCCTAACAAAGGTATTCAAAGCAGAGACAGGCTCACAGGGAAGGTGGATCTTGCAGTGAGCACTGGACAACCACACACTCAGCTCAGGCATGTCAGTAGTGGCTGATATTAGCCATCACCTCCTACTGCACTTTGCTGCTGTCCATGCACAAGTGCGGCAGTGAAATGTGTTGCAGGCATGGAGATCCCAGAAATGTTGGGATGTGCAGAGACATTTCACTTATGGGAACATTGGAGCCAAGAGGGAAAGCCCTGCATAGCTACGTCTCCAAACTATGAGCTCACACTTGCCAAACCTACCCTGTGGGCTGTGCTGAAGCAGTGGCCTTAGAAACCCCAACTGGCATGAGTTTGGTGTTGCCTTGAAGTGATCCACTTTTTCTTCATCCTCTGTCCTCCCGTTTCTCCTTGCAACTCCCCCATTTCCCCCTTTTGATATCTTACAGGTGTCTGAGAAGTGTGCGCTCAGCACTGGAGCAACCAGAACAAAAGGCGCGCATAAAACACTACGACATTGCCACTCCATTGCAGCCAATTTCTGGTGAGAAGGAGCCACCACAGAAGGAATGTCTTGCTGTGTGGTGTCCTCTAGAAACCCTCCGGTCTCCTAATAGTGACATGGACAGAAGAGCAGAAGCTTTCTCTCTGGGGCAGACGAGAGCAGACAGTTTCATGGCTCAGCAACAGCTCACAGCAGTGGGTAGCCCCAGTGTAAGAGGGTTCCTTCCTGATCAGATTAGTCTTATTCACTTTATGTCCCTTACAGAGCTTTTTTATGCAATCTGATTTTTACAGTGCTATTGTCCAGATAGATGAATTGTTTTGTCTTATGGCAGTGAGCTCCAGAGATCAGTTTTCTATTATGTGAAAAGGCAGAGATTTCTATGGGTAATGAGCACATCCACGGTCATATTAGACAAGAGAAAATTCTCCAAACACTTAGCAGTAATACAGGGTTTCCACTTTAAACAACATCTACAATACACATTTGAGTTCCCCAGGGACCTGATTTCCACAGGTATTTAGGGCATCTAACCCCCACACAGCATCAACCAGGATTGCCACAAGTACCCAATTGAGAGAAATCATAAAACCCCTTAGAAGAAGGAGTGTCTCTGGCCTTGGGCTCACACAGTGATAGCCCTCTGGAGTACAGAGCCATGAATAAAGCTGCTGGATGTGCTAGGAATAATAAATGCAAACCTTTATCTGAATGGTAGCCCATTTAGGTGTGGAGCCCAGATCTACATACTCCAAGATGAAGTGCTTCTTTTCTTTTTAAATAGGTCTGTGAAAGCCCAACTCATTAACAGAATATATGACCTGTACTGGTATTTCCAGAGATACCCATTGTAAAGCCAGTATTAAAGAATTGGCTCTTCTTCCTTCCTGCATTTCCCTTACATCTATCTCCCCTCATAGAAAACCTGGTTACTATTTAGGAAAGCAGGGAGAAAAGGCTAAGAATTAAACTTGGAGCCTGGCTTGGTCATTGATGAAGAAATGCACAATATTGCCTCCTTAGACTAACTAAAATAGGTTGCAAATGCAAAACTGGAGAACACAGCTCCACATACCTACGTGCAACCTGTACACACACACACATACCTCCTGTGTATGATCTAGAACAGAGCTGTGGATCAGCAGCACTGAGGGTGATGTGGGTCACCTAAACCATAGACCCATCTAACTTCAACAGACACAACCTAAGTCAGGTCTGTCACTGCAGAAGTGTGATGGAGCCTGAAGGAGCAATTGCAGCAGGTATAGGGTTGTAGCCTAGGCAGGACTAGCACAGACACCAGGGTGTGATGCACGGGAGATCTGAGATACTTTCACCTTGATTAACACATGCTGCATGCTGTGAAGAGCTATGAACCCTCATTTCCACTCTCTGCAAAGGAATGGAACCCCTAAGCATCCTTTCCCATGAGACCATGGGTAAAACCCAAGCTCCCTCTTGGAAACAGGGCTGCATTTGCCCTTGATGCCATGCTCCCAACTATGGGAACAAAGACAACGATACAATAGACCAGTGCAGAACTAGGATCGAGGTCATGAAATGAGTGAGAGGCCACAAATCCTCGCTACATGGCACCTATCTGAAGAGGCTGGTGACATCCCAGCTGAGAAAGGCCAGTCTATAGGGAAGTGGTGGGAATGCTGACACGAGAAATCCCAGACAGGTACAGGGAGGGATGGGAAACAGTCCTGCAAAGGGTCGGAGCTCATCCCTCACAAAGGCTCCTATCGGGCTGACCCCATCAAAGCAGCATCAGGGCAGGCAGAATCAGGCCCGGGGTGTGTTGGAGGCGAGGGGGAAGCAGGGGAGGAGGGCTGCGAAGTGTTGGGAAACAGCCTGTTGTTAGATTTCAGGCCTGAAGTGTTTGCGAAATGTCCCAGACAAGCCTAACAGGGAACCTGAAGGCCCCGCTGCAGACAGAGGCACTGCGGGCGAGCGCGGCGTGCCGAGATAAGCGTGGCAGGCTGTGCCGAGTGCTGCAGCCCCGTGCCTCCCGAGACCCTCCCTGCTCAAACACCGGGAGTGTTCTGTTCCCTGACAAGGCCCTTGTGGGACAAAAATGCATCTTGTGAGGGTCTTCTCGGTGGTTTTCGGCGCTGAGGTCACCAGGGCTGTTTGGAGATAACGGAACAAGAGCGAGCCCCCTTTTAACTCGGTGCTGGTATGCAGGTTCACACCTAGGGCACCGCTCCGGAGGGCCTGGGAAAGGCGAAGATGAAGCTCTCTTCTCTGTGCAGCACAAAGAG